AGAAGTATGCCTGCTGACAGGGAAGCCCTGTCATAAACCATTAATTCATATATTCTGCAGTCTGTTTGCTTACATCTTGAATGGCCACTTAATAGGAGGCATGGCGCTGCCAGTTATAACGCCCTGGACTCGCAAGACAACTTCTTCAATTCCACCATCGTTGTCCAAGTAAGTCAGCTTCCAGCATCGAGGATATTCAGTATATGTAGGCTGTACAAAATGATGCAGCCCCTCCTCCTAAATGCTGTCAGTGAGTTGCACATCTATTTTCTCTGAAACGAGAGCACATACCATGTCAAACTTGCAGAGCTGAAGATGGTTTGGCGTGCGTTCTTTGGACATTTTTTCCAGAGATGTTTCTGTGTAACATCTTTCAGTCCTCCATCTACCAAATCAATAGACAACTTACTAGCCGCATTTATGTCGTAGTGTTCATCCATGGCAGAAATTGGAAGGTGGGGAGTCTGAATGAGCAGTGTCAGCAGTTAATATGAGAAGAGGATTTGATGCCCTTACAAGTATTGATGCAGGGTCATCAGTCATATATTAGCCGCTTGTTTAGCGTGTTTTGCTGTCTCCGATTTCTGCGGTCCTGCACAGTTTGCCATTTATTGGTGCCTCAATTTGTTCATAAATTTGGGGTGAACCCCCATTGAAATCTGCCAACATTCGGAGCCTGGGTTCTATAGCAACAGAGAGATATGGCACCACTATTTATTGTGGCTGTAGTCTTGCTCTTAACCACAAATCATTCTGCTGTTCATTGCTGCCAGTCCTCTATTCAATATGCCCTGCCAGTCTCATCCGTCACCTAATTTGTGGAGAAACTCCTCTCTTGAACTCCTTGATATTGGCTCCATCAATGCCAACAGCCGTCAGTTTGTGCTTGCACACCTGGAGGTGCTTGCCACCAAACTTGGTTTCAGCGTTACCGAAAGGGGTATGTGTCAACATCATCTGGCCTTCAAAGTGTAGCCTTACATTTTGCTTTATAGTGCCATCCTCCATTGTTCTCCAGAACAATTTAGACCGTCTATCGCTTGAGTTAACCCACTCAATCCTCGGCCACCTCCCTATCAATGGATTAAAGAGTTTTGCTCTTACATCCCCCTGCACTGCTGCTCAAGCTGCCGCATATCAGCAATTTTGTGTTCAAAGAGTTCTGGCATTCTTTGGTCTCAATTTTTGGGACGTTCAGCCTTTGCTCCAGCGCTATGGTGCCATTATTTCCGGTTCCTGTGCTCTTCTCACCACTTTGCCTGCATCTATGCACTTCAAACCAAGGAACATTGACTTTGTGGTTCCCTATTGCTCTGAAAGACAATTTGCACATGACCTCCTTTGCAACACCAGCTATGCCTTCGACTCTCTCTTGATCTTTACATTCAACTATGCCATCGTCAATTCTTCTGTCTACCGTGACGAAAGGGGACATAGAATCCAAATTCATATGGCTCGTCCCACCTGTTCCCCAATCCAAGCCATCTTCTATTCACCTTCCTCCTACGCCATGAACACAATCACCTCATCTAGCATATTCTCAGCCTATCCGAAGCTTTCAGCCCAAGGACTTGGACTCTCAAACTCTGCCATCCTATTTTCCAAAAACAGTTTGCATACTGACTTCTGTCATTTGCTTTCTCAGGTAGAAGCTGAGATGTTCTGGGAGCGCTACCATCAGCAGGGCTTTAAGCTTCTATGGAATGAATTGTTGCTCCCAGACACCCATTTCTGTGGCACTACATATGATTGCCCTTTGACAATATGGTCCACATTTGACGCAGGTTGTACTTTTGTATCCTTTGATTCTTCAGCCAACTACTTTATCACTCCTATTCCCACTATCGTCTGGCTCTTAGGCAGTCCTTTGTGTAACCACCCTCTCTACAATCACCCAGCTCCATTTGTTAAACAGATTGACCGCCTAGAGTTGATTCCAATCTGGTAGATTTCACATATCATTCATGTTTGTCCTTCTGAATAAAATGCCTTCCTGATGTTGGAATCTCATATCAGGCAGCCTCGGCTGCCATCATCTACAAGGGATGTTGTGAGCTTGAAAGGACTTGTTATGTCTCTGGCAGAGTTACCGCCCCTGATGCGGAGCTTAATGCCATCTTGTGTGCAGTGCGCCTTGCTGTCAAGCAGGCAAACTGCCAACATATTATGGTCTTTACTGACTCTATGGGCTCAGCCCATAAAGCAGTGGACCCCTCCGTGCACTCTGGCCAGGCTTTTAGTCTGTCAGTCTGTCACGCTCTCCAAGAGTGGTTTGAGGCGGATGATCTCTGCCACATCACCTTCGTCTACGTCCCATCTGCATTGCAGTGGGATATCCATGGTGAGGCACACAAGTATGTCACCGAACTTAAAGTCAGGGTTGGACGTCGCAAGACAGACAACTCTATAGACACGCTTCGCTCTCAAGCTGCGCACTCAGTCCTGGATTCATGGAGTTCCACTTTCCAGGATCCAACCTACGGAGGCTCTGAATTCTTAGAGCTTCAACAGCCTGACAGGCAGCCGCTACAGCCATCGTACCTCAATGGGGGACCTTGGCTTTCAACTTTCGGACACAGTATCACTGAGTTCGCTCGTGTTTGCTGGTGCATAACTGGCCATGCGCCCATTGGGGCATACTACCGATGCTTCAAGATCAATGAGCCTCATGGCTGCACTTGCAGGGCTGCTCTGCAGTCTCACCAGCACGTCCTCTTTCGCTGTCGCGATAGATACTCTGTACACTATCCCCGTTTTCTTGGGGATATTGCATCGTTTATGAAGTATAACCCTACAGCGTTTGGCTTCAACCGGGACCCTTTGGGTATCGGATAATCGCTGAGGGCGGGGTTGTTCCTCCTTTTGGGGGATTTATGATGAATTGACACCACCGAGCCTTAGGGTTCAAAGACCTGCGCCAGCCGCCTTTTCTTTGCGCTTGCGGCCCCTCTTATAGCGCGTTGTGGTGCCGCTAACTTTCTGCGTCTGGTCTCAGGCAGGTGCTTCTCTGGCTTGTCAGCCTCAAGACACTCTGCCACCTCCCAGGTGGTGCGATTCTTATCTCATTTGCGCTGCGTGGCCTCTGAACAGCGTCCAACAACTCTGGGGTTTAGCAGGGCCTCGATGGTCTCTTCCCCTTATCCTGCATCACCGTTTTCGCAAGGTGGGTCTGGCTTTGTGGGAGTTTAGGCGTTTGAGCCACAAGGCTTGCGGTTGGGGGGGCGGACATCTTTTAGTAGTTAACTTAGTACCCAGGCCGCGTAGTGTATGTGTTTGTAGATAGCGAGCGGGCTGCCATCAAGCACCGCTATATAAATTGTTGATAAAAAAAAAAAAAACAAAAAAAAAAAGTGTGGAATCTCAGAATCTTGAATGGTGGAATAAAAGAATGCCTTTCTGATGTTGGAATCCTGGAATTTCTCTGGGTGACCAGCGACATTAAAGCATCTTTCCATTGCAAATTGCAAATTCAGGGACGGCCTATTGACCAGAAGCAACATGTTGGTAAATTTTGTCATGCAGTTTCCAATCACCGGGCCAATGACAAGCATTCATCAGGCTCTAATTTGTCTTCTGATATGCCACCTATTCAGGGTTGTCAAATTATAGAGGCTGCTGCACACAGGGTAGGCAGAGATGTGTTTTGATCTCTTACCGCTTTGCTTTGCTAGTTTCTAGGGTTTTTTTTTCTTTTGGGGTTTGGGGTGCATGATGCGGACGGTGTTTCTTTATTGCATATTTGAGGATTCCATTTATGGATCTGCAGTTCAATATATATACTCAACCTATTGGCAACTACATTCTGCTAGTGCAGGCCCACCTTTTCCTGTTTCTCCTGCTATGGCTCCCTCTACTTGTCGTCAAAAGCACTCCTCACCTGTAATTGTTTCAGAGTTAGAGGCTGATAGCAGTGAAGAGTATGTTTCAGTCAACTCATTGATTGTCTATTCAATTGTTGCTGATCATTTGCAGTAATGCCAATGCATCTGAGGCTGGTACCAATGCTTCTGATATGGGTACTGATACCCTAGATGATGACCTACCAAGTGATGAAGAGGACTACATATCTCCGCCTCCGTAAGTTTCTTCTTGCTTTGCAGACTTTGTATTGACCAAGGCACACAGAACCCAGAGGCGTGGTGGCAATTACAACAAGAAGAAATCCAATAGTACTGCTGATGCAATGTGAGTGGCAGCTTCTAATTTCCAACTGTGCTGAGGCTCATCCTGGCTCTAGAAAAACTCACAAGAGGGTTCCAAAGAGATCCCCACAGGCTGATATAATGGAGCATGAAGATGATGAGACACCAGCGTACGTTGTATTCAATAGTATTTGATCCAACTATCTCTGACATCATACCAGTGTGAGACATGGTCCAACAAAGAAGGTCAGAACGGTTGTGCTGCCCAAGACCCCAACTCGCTCTACTCTTCCTCAAGCGCTGAAAACACCCTTTCAACCAAAGCCTAAGACTGTCAGCTGAGTCTACGTTTGTCTGGTTTTCCTTGTACATTGCCTCTATCTGATCTTGCTTCTTTTTTTCCTTAGCAATGATGAGACTGAGTAAGTGATGTTATCTTTTTGTTTAAGGCCTATTTATGCTTAACTGCATTTTTCAGAGAGGAGGTCTCTGATGACAAGCGGCTGCCTCTGAAGCTCAAGCTATCACACAAGTAAGCTTCATTCCACAATTTTCTGGAACCATTGCTGACCTTTTTTTTTACTAGCCCTGCCTGTCAACTTGTTTTTGATCGAGCTGTGTAAGTTCTCTAAGCCCTCTTAAGCATGCTAAATTCTAATGACTCACTTGATTAGTGAAAATCACAAGCTTGAGAAGGTCAAGGAGTTGACAAAGAAGAATAAAAAGCAGGGCAAACGCACATCAGATGATCCCTTTTTGGAAACCGACAAGCAAGAGTTAGTTCTTGATGATCTTGAGCCCACTGAGATTCCCCAGTAAGCAAGCAATTGCCTGAGCCATTTCTTCTTCCATAGAGTCCTAGACCTTGACGTCTGTGGAGTCTATCACTGCAACTTGGTGGATCCAATTCTTCAAAAGACCTATCGAGGTCTTCCAAACCTTCCAAGGTGAGTATTTATTGGTTGTTTTATATAGGTTCTGATTTGATTTCAAGCGGTCGATGCAACATTACAAGAACCTCAGCCGACTTCATCGACCAGGGTATGTGCCGGCTATCACTCATTAAAAGGAATTACCCAAAACTTGATATGAAGTACATCACTAACTCATAGCTTTGATTCTGGGTTGCTAAATCATTTCAATGCAGTTATCTTGTTCAATTGATAACCTTCTCTATCTGCCACAAGAACAGCACTGGCAACTTGTCCTGAATCAACCCAGAACATCTCGTACTGCGCTCCGTCCCCTACTCTGTTTTTTTTTTATATAGCGGTGCTCGATGGCAGCCCGCTCGCTATCTACAAACATGTACGCTACACAGCCTGGTTACTAAGTTAACCACTAAAGGACGACCGCCCCCCCAACCAAGACCCTTTGGGCTCAAACGCTGAAACTCCCCAGAGGGCAACCCACCTCGCAAAAACGGTGCATCGGAATAAGGGGAGGAAACTATCGAGGTTTCGCTACGCCCCAAAATCGTCGATCGCTGTTTGGAGGCCATGCAGCGCAGATGAGATAAGAAAAGCACCACCTGGGAGGTGGCAGGGTGTCTTGAGGCTGACAAGCCAAAGATGCGCCTGCCCGAAACCAGACGCAGAAAGTTAGCAGCGCTGCAACACGCTATAATAGCGGCTGCAAGCGCGAAAGAGTGAAATGGGCGCAGGTCTCCAAACCCTAAGGTCCGAGGGTGTCAATTCACCGATAAATCCCCCAACAGGAGGAATAACCCCGCCTGCAGTGATTATCTGACCCCCAAAGGGTCCCGGTTGAAGCCAAACACCGTGGGGTTGTATTTCATAAAAGATGCAATATCCCAGTACTTTGTGGTCCCCCACAGAGTGCTATAGGACTCCACTGGACTCCAGTGGAGTTGGCATATTATGCAGTGGAGTCCAGTGGAGTCCAGTGGAATTATACTGGAGTTTAGTGGACTCCAGTGGACTCCAGTAAGAAGGTATAGTGGAGTTCAGTGGAGTCCAGTGGAGTCCAGTAAGAAAGTAGACTGGACTCTACTGGAGTGTAATACTGGAGTCTTACTAGAGTCTTACTGGACTCCACTGGACTCCAGTATATGTATCAAAATAGACTACTAACCAGTACCTATTACACATCAGAATAAATAATAGTCTGTTGGACCATTCCCCAAGTCCAGCATATAGAATATGTAACAAGATGCTTAACAATCAATTTTTTTTAGGAAAAAACATGTAGAGCACCTTTGGCCGACCCTGAATCAAGTTATTTGATGTCATTAGCTGCTCTGCTTGGCAAGAAAAATGTAAAATACTGAAAAAGTAGATTACTTTTGCAAATTTTGGCATTATTTGGCTTATATCTTGTCATTAATAGAGCCAAATACCATCACTCAAGTGGATTCAGGATCATCATTTATTGCAATTATTTTCTCCTAAAGAGAAATTTTCTCACAGTCATGTGACCTGCATATCTCATATTGTTAGCACCCCTAGTCCCTGTGTAAATAGAGCACATTTTGGCAAAATCCAATTTGTCACATGTGACTCTGATATTGATGTCATCAGCAAACTTGATAGCTTTATTACTTTTCATCAATGCCAAGTCTGGGCCTAGCAATCATATATTTATTAATTGTTTCTATTTGAGGCCATAACATCAAAGTTTCAGAAGCTGACTCTGAAGGAATAGGCAAATAACAAGTCATGTGACTGGCCATCAATCTTGGCATCAGTCTTCTATGACTATAACATCTCTCTGCATTGTTCACTGGACTCCACTGAAGTCCTATAGGAGTCCAGTGGAAGATGGACACTCCACTCCAGTATACTCCAGTGAACTCCAGTAGACTTTGGGTGGTGACTCCAGTGGACTCCAGTGAGCTCCACTGGAGTCCAGTAGGCACTTTTGGCTGGTGTTCCTGCTAATAGATTTCTACCAGACTCCACTAGAGTCCACTGGAGTCCTATAGGGATACGTGGGGGAGTACAAAGACCTCGCAATTCTTCTCATCTCTAGAATAACGCAGGTCCGAATAAAACAATTCTCCTCGTACATAGCCCAAATGTAAATTGTTGCCAATTCGATGGGAGGATTATTAGCTCTGGCTAGATGGACTTGACAATCTAAAGGTTGTTCTTGCTTCTGGCATTCCTTCTCGTATATGGCCTGTCTGCCATGGTATGCATTCCATAATACGTTGAAAGGTTGTGAGGACTTGAAAATTTCTGTATTGTCAAAAAGATTGATTGAATTCTGTTGAAATTTTGGGACCTGGAAAACAATAGTGTGGGCTTCTTGTAGGAGAATTGCTGGAGGGGCCCAAGGCTCTAGCGCTTTATTTGAAGCATGGACGTTTGTCCATTCGTACCAGATTGGAATGCCTAATTGCTGAAACCATTCTGGTGAGGGTTGTAATTCTTCTTGAGGAAGATAGATGAATAAGCCAGCTCGAGGTATGATATGCTCGAAGGTGCAAACAATTGATTGATACAGAGACTGTAGCCAAGCTTCTGAAAAACCTTTTTTGACGAGGTGGTGGTACCAGTTGTTGATAACTAGAGAAGGAATAGATGAAGATGATTTTGAGACTTCCTTCCACTGCACCATTGCAACAAGATAGGACACAAAGCCTATCCAAACTCTAAACCAGTCTCTTGAGGCAGATATGGCCTTTTGTGAGGCGTAAAATGATTTGAAGTGGCAATTGTAACCCTGAGTCCATACACATGGGGGCTGCATTGATGGGAGCCCGTACTGCTGTCGTAGAGAACTGGCTACTGTGGACAGGTAATGTTCCAGAGCAGCCCAGCGCTCACCATAAGATGGTGGAATAGTATAGCCTTCTTGCATTAAGACAGGATAAGGCAGGTGGGACAAGACACCAAACAAGTCTCCAGTAAAAACTGGGTGCTGAGGAATGAATGCCATCCATCCCCATCTTAAGTTCCACCACCTGGGTTGCAAGTACCAGGAAGGATTGTCATGTTTTTGCTTGAAGACATTGTTGAACCTTCCTTTGTCAGGATCTGGAGCAGGGAGAGCAACGTCCAAGGTGCTGTTAGGAGAATAAACGATGTGCCCATTTAAAACAAGGACCCTTCCCTGGCTACAACCTGGTTTAGTGGTGGGCTATCAGATATCTCAAGGGCATAGACTGACGCAATGGGAATTGGCATGTTAAAGGTCCAAATGTCTGGGGGCTTGAATTGGTTTGGTACCATATTCAAAGCTTGAAAGGAGCTTGCTGATGAATAGAAAGAAGATAGATTGGGCTCAGAGAAGAGTGAATCAGTTCGGTACCGTATCCACTTATCAAATATGCCCTGGAGGGATGAAGAAAGGAGCTAGATGGTAAGAAGATGAGGAAGAGATCAGAAGAAAGCAATTTGCTGGCAATGTAGACAAGTGCATACTTGTATTTGTTGCGCCTCTAAAGCAAACAAAGGACGGTGCAAAGTCCTAAGTGGCTCTGAGGGTTGAAGGCCTTTGCTGATACTTATGTCAGATGAATGAATAAATACATAATGTTCATATTTAACAAAAGAAAAAGCTAGATACAATTAAATTGTGGTACAGACAAGATACAAGGAGAGGGGGGAGGTCACAGAGGCAAAACAAGCAGGAACGACCCCGAATGTTGCAGTTCCAGGCCGTTCGTGCACCAGGGGCGTCATTGGATGGCCCCTGGGGGTGTTGGATGGCGAGAGGCAGCAGTGGAGGGCGAGGAGGGTGAAGGGGTGGTGGTGGGGCGAACCAGGTGGGCGGCAGGGCGAGAATGCACGTGAACGAGCCCAAACTCTGAAGTTCAGGCTCATTGGTGCACCAGGGGTGTTGTTGGACGGCCCCTGGGGGTGTTGGATGGCGAGAGGCAGCCGCAGAGGGCAAGAAGGGCGAGGAGGGTGGTGGTGGGGCGAACCAGGCAGGCAGCGGCAAAAGACAAGCCCAAACAAGCCCAAACTCTGAAGTTCGAGCTTGTTTGTGCACCAGGGGTGTCGTTGGATGGCCCCTGGGGGTGTTGGATGGCAAGAAGGGGTGGTGGAGGGCGAGGGGGTGGTGGTGGGGTGAACCAGGTGGGCAGCGGCATGAGAACACACGCGAATGAGCCCGAACTCTGAAGTTCAGGCTTGTTGGCGCACCAGGGGTGTCATTGGATGGCCCCTGGGCTGTTGGATGGGCAAGAAGGGGCAGCGGAGGGCAAGGAGGGCAAGCGGGTGTGGTGGGGTGAACCAGGCAGGCGGCAGCGAAAACGCACGCAAATGACCCCAAACGTCACAGTTTGGGGTCGTTCGTGCACCAGGAGCATCATTGGATGACCCCTGGGGGTGTTGGATGGGCGAGACACGGCGGCAGAGGGTGAGGAGGGCAAGCGGGTGGTGGTTGGTGCAACACCGGCGTTGTTGGATGGCCCCTGGGGGCACTAGATGGTGGGAGGAGCCCGCTGACGGCGAAGTCACCAGAGGTGGTTGGAGTGCACAGGCCAGTGGTCCAAAGTTGACATGTGCATGTGACCTATGACGCATGAAAACTCTTGGAGAGTTTTCGTGTGTCATTTGTTTGGCTCTCTACAAACACTTGTGATGTTTGTGCAGCCCCTTCTTCTTTCACAACCACCATCATCTGGACTCCTCCAGGCACTTTTCCTGGTGCCTTCACCCTTTGTGGGTTCCTCTGATATTGTAGCGCTAGCCAGGGGCATGGGACCGACTTGGCCACCAGCTTAGCATTACTAAACAGCCACTACTTATCAAACCCTGTTATATCTGGTACAATGGCTTCTCTGGCCTCTTCTTTGGTGGTCTATCCCTTTGTTGGGCCCTCTATGAATCTTCAGGGACCCTCAGACCCCAGATTTGTTGTCCCTAATGGCACACTTATATCCTCGCCTTCCCGCCATGCCAATTTTCCTTATATTTATGAAGTACCAGATCATCCGCTCATCCTACACCGGCAGTATGTCAAGAGAATTCTGGTTTACATTCAAGACACATCCAATGAAGCCCTCCACTCTATGTACAGTTGGGAAAATAAATTATATGTGCCTCTTGGACCTGATAACCTTATGAAACGATATGGTATGCTCTAATTATGCTGTTATTTTTGTCTCAGTCATTAACACCTAATTGTCAGGACTATTTCGTATCACCAATGGCACTATTATATATGCTAGACCTATTGGAAATGTTGAATCTGAAAAGGATCTAATTGTTACATGGTGTTTTGATGGGTAAATTATGTTCTTTTCTTTTAAGAGATGATTCTGACACCATATATCTTAGTATGAGGCTACTCAACCAGACTCTCAGAGAGGACCTCCTCCATCTCCGTGATGAGATTATGGGGGACAAAAGCCAGGTCACTCTGGACAGGCCTATTATGATCAATGGTGTATTGGTGGGAGGAACTGGCTTTGAACGCCGGGGTATCGATCCTGGTGTGAAGGATTTATGATGCTTTGGTATAAGCATGTCGCACCAACATTCACCCAACATTGTGGGACCTGCAGCTAGTAGTAAAATCTATAATGGCAAGCTGACACCAAATGAAAAAATCCGTCAAAAATTTGCAAAGGTAAGATTTTGTGATTGTAAAAGAACACAAGTCTGAAATTGTTAAATCTATGGCAGCTATGTGCCACAGTCTCAATGACATCAATGAGAATGTATGCACCAGCTGAAATGCTAGAAATTCTGGAAGAACATTCTCGTTACCACAACGTACCTAGGATTGGTATCAAAGATAACTTTGCCTTTCCTGTGATGCAACTCAATATAGCACCAGCTGTAAGCTATGAAGAATGCACTGGTAAGTTTGTGTTAGATATCTAAGAGGCTTATTCTGAGTGTGTTTTAGAAAAGGGTCTTGAAGGGATGGGTGAATTTGGATCAACAGATGGTCATATCGATGGCTTTGATTGGGTTGCAGCAATGACTTCAATGATTGCAAATAGCAATCTGCCAAGCAACTATGAACCTGGAAGATTCCACCTTTTAGCTCTCAGATGCTACTTTGTTCTGCAGCCTTTAATGGTCATGAACTTCTATGGTCTCACTCGACATGGCGGATCTCCTCCAATTGCACCTCCAGGAGAGGAAGTAGCACATGATGCTCTTTGATTTGCCTTGGTCTCATATTCTCCATGATCTATAATGCTTAGAAATGGAAATAGCATGATTCCATTGGCAAATTGGACAAAAAATCAGAACTTTTCAATTCTGCCAGAAATTTCTGGCTATATGTAAGCTTATTCTGAATACTTGATGAGCAGATTATTTATAAAGATTTTAGCGGATATGATGGCACATTGGTTTCTGAATCAGCAAATTATGCTATCGATGGAGCTGTTATCATGGAGCCTCAATCACTCATCAATTTTTTCTTCAACAATATGTATCTTTTAGTGCGGTACTTTGGAACACAACTTCCATTTGAAGAATTTGACATTGATCCTGTCAAACTCATGTCCTCAATTACTGTAAAGCATAAAGGACAAGATATCTCTCCTTGTCATTGGCTAGAAGCACCCAGAAAGAACTCAAACCATAAAACACTATTGCTCAAGATGGTTGACTACATGGAGAAGCGTTCAAAGTACATGCCATCTCAAGTCGAGGTTGACTTTGATTTAATGAGAAGAGAAATTGAGGAAGGACAACCGGAAATTGCTCAAAGAAAGAAGAAGAATGATACTCAAGTTCCAAAAAATACTTCTAAGAGAAAACCAAATAATGCTAACAATAGTGGGTACCTTCTATTATATGATTTATTTGCTGAATCTCATTATATTCATATAATCAGATTCATCAAATAAGAAGCAAAAAACAGTTTCCACTCCGGTTTATACAACTCCAGCCGACAAAATGGGAGGAATGATGGCTCATGACCTGGCTGAATTTTATATATTTGAATCACCAGGTAAGAGTATCAAACATATTGCACTTATAAAATGTGCTGAATATAGTATAAGCATCTCAGTCAAAAGGAAAGGAAAAAGCTGTCTTCAGTGATGTAAACATGGTATGTGTTTCACCCTATCTGGTACAATTGTGCACTTATTAATATATTATTCCAGCATAATGAAGAAGACGAGTAGCTAGAAGAAGTACATTTATTTTTTAAACAAATTGTTGTTTATTCTAAAGCAAAAATCTCAGAGTGATACTTCACAAAGTGAATTTGAGGACGATACTCCAGCAAATGCAAAACCCTTACGGAAGATATGGCTTGATCCTAAAGAAGAGCTACAATACGCTGTTTTTACAATGCCAACGATGTCAACTTCAACTCATGAAAATATCCTATCAGATGTCAACATGGATGCTGATGGTCCTACACCATATTCTGGTAAGAAATATTAATTCATATTCCTATTTGTTGACTAAGTTCAAATTGTTCAGGCCCTTTTGCATCAATTAACATCAATACTATTGTTGATATAATTGAGAATATTCAGTATGGTATTGCTGCTCATATAGAGGAAAAGCAACAGAAGGAATCTCAAACAACTGGAAATATCTGTGCCAACACTTTGCATGCCATTTCAGAGAAACCTGACAGTTGGACAACCGCAAAGAAGCTGGCATCATTTTGGACTGATTTTGAATATATTGTCAAACAAGCTCATACTTCAAATCTGGAGACCATGATGATGAAAAGTCATATAATGTATACATCATGGAAAATCCACACTTGGCTGAAAAACATCATTCTGGAAGTAGATGGGCACAAGATGGCACCATGGGTTGCAAATTTGAGCAAACATATCACTATGATCATCCACAATCCTGTCAATTGACCTTCAGAGCTAGTTCTCAAGGCCAAAGATTTTATGTCTAGTGCCAACGATGTGCAGTACATGACTAAACTGCCTCAATTCTGCTTCAGCAAGAACGATTATAGCATTGAGATTAAAGATATCGTCTTTAAAACTGTTCGAGCTTGGTTGAAGGTTCCAAACAAGAATACCAGCTATGTTCAAGGAGAGCTTCTCAACATTATTGTGCATTTGGGTGGTATATCCATGTTCTATTTTGATGAAGTTTGGTCGGCATACATTAAAGCTCCAGTATTTCTTATGCCTGGAGCTAACTCAACACAACACCAGAGTGCTCGATACATTGAAGATGCTGTACAAAAATTTGAAATCTCTTTTCAACAGCATCCTGCTTTTGTTAAATCAACACCTGAGCATCTTCTGCTCAAATATCTTGATCAATATATCTCTGATTGGCACCAAGACTCACAACCCGAGGCAACATCAAGTCAAGAGCATCGAGAAGCAAAGATGGAACTCTTTCTACAGTATCTTATGCATCTAGTTCCTATTGTCAGCAGCACTCCAGCACAAATTCACCAGGGCAAGGATAACTTGTTGAAGTCCATTATAACCAATCTAGATTTTTTCTCGCCATTCCATCAGCTTGCACCTACTATAGTCCATGCAGAAATCACTATATTTAGCAACAGTCACAAGCTGAAATCACATATCGGCCTATTCAACATGCTATGTTTCCATGGAGTCTTCTATGGAACTGAATGGTGCAAAACAAATCTCCGTTGGTTTGATTGCTATGATGACTGGCTTCAATTCTATGATGATCTTCTCAAGGGAGGCTATATGAAAGATTCTGCTGAGAATTATCTTGTCAATAAAAAGGCTTATGGTCCCCATATGGGAAAAAGTTGCAAGACGGATGACATCAAAAGCTATTGGGAAATGAGTCTAGAGCATGAGGAGAAATATCTGGAAATAATTGGAAATAATGATCATTGGGCTCTCTACAAGTTTTTCCTGCTCTTTCCAGGTGTTGGCCAGCTTATATCTCTGCTCCTGGTTGGAGATACTATTGAGTGCAATCTGTTACCTCCTGTCAAGGCTGAGGTCTGGGGAGCAGTTATTGCTGAAGTCAACTTGGGAGGAAAGCGTGGTTTGGTTCAACTGGAGCTCATCAACAAAGACTCTGCAAAAAAAGCAGACATACAGCTTGCATTTGCAGAACTCTTCAACTACATCTCAGACAAAATGCCTCGGCAGACTCAGCAATTGATCTGATTTGATGCAGTTATGCTCGAGCATTCCTTATGTAAACACAGACATCATGACAAATTGTAGGTGGTAAAGTAGTATTTTTTTTTGTGAAATATATACAGAGTTTTTTTTGTAGCGAGTTGAGTGATGAGAAAATAAGTGTGATGTCTAATTGCAAGGTCTAATGGAGAGCAGGTTGAACAGCAAGATGAGAGAAGATAAGAAAGAACAGGTTGGTTGAACAACGGTACGTAGATTAGAGAGTCAAAGGCAGAATTGCGTCTAATACTTTCATAATAGGGTCATCGTGCCAACACAGCTTGGGAGACGCACTTCTGAGATGGAGGATTTAGATTCCAAGACAAGAGTGAGCTTGAAAATATAACGCACTATTTTCTCAGTGTATCAAGAACAACGACCCAGCAAATATTGAATGCGGCCATTGCATCCGATGAACTGCGAGGAATGTACTCAGCAACTGTATACCTGCTAAGGGCCAGAGAATCTGCAGGAATGCTCCCTAAGTAAGGAGGCAAGGTCAATGGGATAGAGCAAAGGCCATCAGGAAGTTGTATTTTTTGCTTTCGGCCATCCAGAACTGGTACTAAAGGAAGGGTAAGATTTTAATTGATATAGATATCAATCGAGACTTACTGTTCTCATCAACAGTGAAACCGCTCTTCCAACCTGACTGATTGTTGCCATTAGATGAAATATTAGCTGGGCTAGGCACTGCCTTTGATAAAGTAAATCCTTTCCTCGGTGAAGAGGAAGGACCGGCAGTTGACTCTAAGATAAAGATAAGTTTCAAATCACATTGAGAGCAACTGATGACTTACAATTGTGCAAACAACCCCCAGGCTTTGTGGTGAACGACCAGTAATTGTTGTATACTGCTGAACGAATTTGCTCAATGCCAAACGCTATGCAGAGCACAGCAACAAGGCGCTCATACTCCAAAGCATGAATCATGCCAGTGATAAACTTGACTAGACCTCCGTTTCCAAAGGTCTGCCCCTCTGCAAGACAGTCCTCATCTGTAGAGACAAAAGAGCAGAAAAGAGCAGGCTGTGGCTGTTCCTTCAAGTGGATCACCTTTGACCCTACATTGGAGTAGGGGACGGAGATGATTGCCAATAGGATACAGGTTGATGCTGTCAAGCATGATATCTTCCATCCCAACCAACTTGGCGGCATCCGCCAGAGATCAACTGAGGATGCTGGATTGATTCTGACTCATCTCATGCAAGCAGAGTGGGTTAAGGGTCTCCAGACTAGCGCACTGGCTTTTGACATCGCGCAGTTCTTCCCTTCTATCAACCACGAGATGTTCATGGCTGTACTTCGCAAGCAAGGGTTCTCGCTGGTTCTGGTGGAGTTCTTTGCCTCTTATCTTGTTGGCCGTTCCACAGTCTACTGCTGGAACACCTTCCAATCCGACTTGCAGTCTGCGGATGTGGATGTCGGGCAAGGCTCAGCTCTCTCGCCTGTTATCTCTGGGCTGTTCATTGCTCCGGTAATGAAGCTCTTCTATATCAAAGTGGCGCCGCTCAACATGATGCTGCTTTCCTTTGTGGATGACGGGACCATTCTGGCCCAATCCAAACAACTCGATGATAATAATGTGGGCCTGCGTAAGGCCTACAAGATTATTTACCTACTTTTTGTTGCTTTCGCACTCATTCTTGAACATGACAAGACCGAGCTGTTCCACTTTTCGCATCGACGAGATGCCTACAATCCCTCGCTGGATCTGGGGTACGCCCCGCATACTGGCGCTACGCCTTTGAAGCCCAAGACCTTTTGGAGGTACTTGGGCTTCTACTTTGACCACGGGCTCACATTTCATGAGCACATTTGCTACTACGCCACCAAGGCGTTCACCACCGTGCAGGCCATGCGCATGCTCGGAAACTCTACTAGAGGACTCTTGCCTAAACAGCGCCGCCTCTTATATCGGTCGTGTGTGGTGCCTATTGCCACATACGTCTATCATCTCTGGTATTTTGACGGTGCCCGTAATAAGGGCACAATGAACCAGCTGAAACAGATGCAGCAAAAAGCTGCTCTATGGACTACGGGTGCTTTCCGCACCTCCCCTACAGGCGGTCTTGAGGCCTTGGCAGGTCTCATCCCCGTTCACCTCATGCTGAAGAAGCTGGCGACGTGCGCAGTGTATCGCGTTGCCACCCTTTCGGACACTCACCCTCTTCGCTCCATGTTGGGCGAGGGGTTCCTTAAGCGAGCCGCACCACATGCTCGCTCAGCCGCCTTGATGACCCCAGCCATGCGAGGGAAAGTCAAGAGCACCGTTATGGAGGTGGACGAGTGCGTCCACACCTTAACTGAGAGCTTCGAGCCCTTTGCGCCTGAAGCTCGCCCAGGCGATCGGTTACTGGACCGCTATGCAGACCGTCTCCACTTTGACGAGCACAATCCTGCCCAGGATAGGTGACCATATCTAGACAAGCTCATCGTGAAAGCGAGGGCCAACCCTTTAACAGTACTGGCTGCAACTGATGTTCTGTCCCTCAGTCCAACCAGTATCAGGCAGCTTCAGCAGCCATCATCTACAAGGGACATCACGAGCTTGAAAGGACTCGTTATGTCTCTGGCAGAGTTACCACCCCAGATGCGGAGCTCAATGCCATCTCGTGTGCAGTGCGCCTTGCTGTTAAGCAGGCAAACTGCCAACATATCATGGTCTTTACTGACTCTATGGGCTCGGCCCATAGAGCGGTCGACCCTTCCGTGCACTCTGGTCAGGCTTTCAGCCTGTCAGTTTGTTGCACTCTCCAAGAGTGGTTTGAGGCGGATGATCTCCGCCGCATCACCTTTATCTACGTTCCCTCTGCTTTGCGGTGGGACATTCATGGTGAGGCACACAAGTACTTCACTGAACTCAAAGTCAGGGTTGGATGTCGCAAGACGGACAACTCTATAGACGTGCTGCGCTCCCGAGCCACGCACTCAGTCCTGGACTCATGGAGTTCCACTTTCCAGGATCCAACCTACGGAGGCTCTGAATTCTTAGAGCTTCAACAGCCTGACGGGCAGCCGCTACAGCCATCGTACCTCAATGGGGGACCTTGGCTTTCAACCTTCAGACACAGTATTACTGAGTTCACTCGCGTCTGCCGGTGTATAACTGGCCACACACCCATTGGAGTGTACTACCGTCGCTTCAAGATAAATGAGCCTCATGGCTGCACTTGCAGGGCTGCTTTGCAGTCTCGCCAGCATATTCTCTTTCGCTGTCACGATCGCTACTCCGTGCATTACCCCCGCTTTCTTGGGGATATTGGAGGTCTTTGTACTCCCCCACGTATCCCTATAGGACTCCAGTGGACTCCAGTGGAGTCTGGTAGAAATCTATTAGCAGGAACACCAGCCAAAAGTGCCTACTGGACTCCAGTGGAGCTCACTGGAGTCCACTGGAGTCACCACCCAAAGTCTACTGGAGTTCACTGGAGTATACTGGAGTGGAGTGTCCATCTTCCACTGGACTCCTATAGGACTTCAGTGGAGTCCAGTGAACAATGCAGAGAGATGTTATAGTCATAGAAGACTGATGCCAAGATTGATGGCCAGTCACATGACTTGTTATTTGCCTATTCCTTCAGAGTCAGCTTCTGAAACTTTGATGTTATGGCCTCAAATAGAAACAATTAATAAATATATGATTGCTAGGCCCAGACTTGGCATTGATGAAAAGTAATAAAGCTATCAAGTTTGCTGATGACATCAATATCAGAGTCACATGTGACAAATTGGATTTTGCCAAAATGTGCTCTATTTACACAGGGACTAGGGGTGCTAACAATATGAGATATGCAGGTCACATGACTGTGAGAAAATTTCTCTTTAGGAGAAAATAATTGCAATAAATGATGATCCTGAATCCACTTGAGTGATGGTATTTGGCTCTATTAATGACAAGATATAAGCCAAATAATGCCAAAATTTGCAAAAGTAATCTACTTTTTCAGTATTTTGCATTTTTCTTGCCAAGCAGAGCAGCTAATGACATCAAATAACTTGATTCAGGGTCGGCCAAAGGTGCTCTACATGTTTTTTCCAAAAAAAAATTGATTGTTAAGCATCTTGTTACATATTCTATATGCTGGACTTGGGGAATGGTCCAACAGACTATTATCTATTCTGATGTGTAATAGGTACTGGTTAGTAGTCTATTTTGATACATATACTGGAGTCCAGTGGAGTCCAGTAAGACTCCAGTAAGACTCCAGTATCACACTCCAGTAGAATCCAGTATTACACTCTAGTAGACTCCAGTATACTTTCTTACTGGACTCCACTGGACTCCACTGCATAATATGCCAACTCCACTGGACTCCAGTGGAGTCCTATAGCACTCTGTGGGGGACCACAAAGTACTGAGAATTGCTTTTGACACCTTTTCTGTCAAAGAAAAGATCTACAATGCCTTTGAAAATGCTTGGCCTTGTAGCAAGCACTTCTCTCTTTCAGATCCTCCCAACGATCACTCTTCTGCTGCTGCTCAAGAAGAATGGAATGAATTTTATTTGCATATTGACATTGAATCTGAAGAATCATACCTTCCTCAAGAAGCTCATAACCAGAATCTGACAACTTTGCAGAGCGCCGTCTTTATGAATGCCCATCCCTATTTTCCACTGGCTGAAGCACAAAATCTGGGAGCAGATAGGATGCAGGAAGAGATTCTTGACATAGCTTGGCTGTACTATGGATTTGTTCCACCACTTCTATCAACAAATTCTTCTCCATCTGGTCTGTGGTCAGAGAATAAGAAAAAGGAGTTTCTTCAGATGATTGGCATGTGCTACAACGATACTCAACACATCAACTTTGTGAACCAGCAGGTTCTTGAGGTGGATAACTTCATTCAACAACTTCTCAGAAATGAACAACCCAATGATGACATCTGGGATGTAGGTCTATCGAACCGCCGGTCTTTACTTGCTCATCCTTGGCTTAAGTTGGTTGTGAAGGCCTATTACGAGTTTGTCAACAATGAAAACAAACTTCAGCAACGTCTGCTCTATATGTTCAATTTTGGATCAGAGCATACAGTGCCATGGAACATAGCTGTATATTCTGCCTCCACTGTTCTCATTATCTGTCAACTTGATCAAGGTTTCAAAGACAAGGACATTGTTTGCTTTCTTCTCAATCATGGCATTCCCTTCCGTACTTTGCAATTGAAGGAGACTCTTTGTCAGTGTCCTAATTGTTATTATCCTTGTTTCAAGTACCTATATCGACTTGATTACACCTTCACTAAAGCCGACTTCAACTCTTACCTCAGTCTCTGTGCTGAAATTATGTCCAAGCCATATAGTGGTCAAGCTGCTCTTATGAGAGGCGGTTATCTCTGGAGAGTTGGGACACCTTATGCTTCATTTGACCATGTTCTTTTGGGACCATCAGGATTATCAGACAATGGTACCAACTTTCATGCATATACCATGGAATCAAAGCTGGAGTACATTGATGATAATCTGACGCATGAAGAGGAGAACATTCTTTGTGGTGCTTATACTCTGTTAACAATGCCAATCCTTAATGAGAATGATGAACTTGAAGATGGAGAAGTTATTGGTGAGATTTTTCAAAAAAATTCTTAGAGTTTATTTGCTAAAATTACTTGCATCTTAATAGAGTATGAAGAGAAATTGGTGTCTTGGTTTCCACGACCTCGAGAATTTGAAAATAGTGGTCAAAATTATGGTTGCTGGAATGATCTGCTTGAGAACAAGTACTTGACTTATAGAAACCAGATTGACCAACCTCTGATTAATTCTGCATGGCGTAGCACCATTAAAAGCACCATAGTGTCTAGATGTTTTCAATTTCTTGATAATATTTCTCTTAATTTGAATGATGAGGCTCAGCGTATCCATGTATAGAATAACATATCCAGATTAGAAATAGCATCAGAACACGGTCACATGACATGTTGAACTTGAGTTTCAATTTCATTTGGCAACTTTCAAGGCTTGCTCTTGTACACTCAGCATCCCACTAATGCTTTCAACACTTCTGCTCTCTCTTCTCATTTTAACTGCTCCTCTTGAGATATATAACTCAGAGTGCAAACTAGGTAAAATTTTGAATCTCTTTTGAATACTTGTATCATCTAACTTGAACTATAGATCCAGGGCCTTCTGCACTTTCCTCTTCTACAACAACATGGACAGAGTTTAATAACTCAGTGGCTATTGCATTGGTGTATCAAGAGCCTCAACCTACATGTTCATGTGAGCACCAGAACCATTATTGATTATCATGACTGACTTGCATTTATTCAGCTACTCACTGGAGTTTAGAGTTAGAAACTGAGTTCAATCATGAGTTAGAGATTGGCAGCAATCCAGGCATTTTATTTAGAATTTATAAAAAGAGTCATACACCAACTTATACTGGCTTTGCTCTGCTTGGGCAGTTTTTGTTCAAGATAACATCTGCTATTCTATTCTCAACAACTCAATGCATTAGATCTATGGCCATATTTTCTACTTCTTCATTATGGCGCACTCCAGAGCAATTTTGCTATCGCATCTACCTTCTACTTCTTCAACACATCACACTAAAGCACCACTATACTGCTATAGCCACTGTTTACTGGCCAGTGCTTTCCAGGATTCCAGCACATTCATTCTGCTATATTGCACCTTTTTCTTCTTGTTTACCATCTATCGTATATGTGCTAAACTATATACAGATTCAACAGAATAAATTCTGCTCTCATGAAGCTGAATTTGAATGCTTAGCTGTTCCTGATCAATGCGCAGGAGGAATTAAGTATGCTTCACTCCAGAATCTTCAAAATTATGCACTTTCTAAGGATCACTTATCTAGGTTTTCTTCTAGTGCTAAATTCACATTTGTGACTCAAACACCTTATAAAGACCATACATCAATAGCGTCCAATGACAGTACATTAATTTGCCGGATTCCTCTCCAACTCATCTCATATTTTCTCAATTTAGATCAACTCAAAAATATTGCTCAACTCCATAACATACAAGGTGATCCAAAGTACAAGCGATCAGAATTTCTTAAGCAGATTGAACAACATACCTGTGGTCTGCAATGTTTTGACTTGGTTTCAGTTTGGAAATCAATATCCGATTGCTCTAATAGCCAACGCCAGCAGAATTATTGTGACAGAAAGAAGAAGAATATTTTAAAAACTGAGAAGCCACAATGTATAAATAGAGATCATGGTTTGTTTCCTCCTCCTCCTCCTTCACATACCTTGATGCAGCGCATCATTTCAGACTTTGTGGCTGACACCAGCCCAGAGAAATTTATTGAAGCAGGCTGTACAGTTTGTGGCCTTTTGAAACCCATAAAACAGCTCAAATTACTTGCAGATGCTCGGATATCGCTCAATCCACTTTGCCTTCCTAATGTAACACGTCTTGAAAGAAAGTCCACAACAGATCCAATTCAAGACATTCCTGGTCCAGTTATTGATCCAGACTGTAAGCACATATGCCAAGGCTGTTGCAAACTGCTTAAGAAAGGGAAAGTACCACCTGCAGCACTGGCAAATGGCTACTGGATTGGAAAGGTGCCCCATGTGCTGTTGCGTCTTACCTATGTTGAAAAACTGCTCATTTCCCGAGTGCGCCACAACCGCTGCATTGTTAAAGTTGCCTCTGGTAGATACAAAATGCAAGCTAACGCTATTACCTTCCAGAATCCAACACCCAAGATATACAATACTCTTCCTCCTCCGGTTGCAGATCTTGATGAGGTATTAGCATTTATATTCACAGGTCCATGCAAGCCTACAAAGCAGGATATTGAACACACACCACTTCTAGTATGTCGGAACCATGTAGCTGAAGCTCTAGAGTGGCTCAAGCTAAACCATTTGGACTATAATGATATCGACATTTCTCTGCAAAATCTGAGTGAATATCATGAACATGATACTCCTGTTGTCATTGACTTTTGTGAGTCTGTTATCAACAAAGATCGAGAAGCCACTAGTGTACATGACAATGAAGAAGAGGACGGTGTTGAAACTGGTCCATGCTCATTCACTGTGCAAGGCTTGACAGGAGAGCAGTATTCAAATATGTCAATTGATGCAATAAAAGCACATGCCTTGGAACATCTAGTTAAAAATGGACATATCATGTTTGTTGGGCATTCAAAGAATCCTCTCAGCTTGTTCAACAACCCTCAGCTATTTCCCTCAATGATGCCATGGCTTTTTCCATATGGTTATGGCGGTATTGGCCAGATTTGTCTTAAAGGCAAAGACTCTCAGTTAACTCAGAAACGGCACATGTTGTTATATCATGACAAGTGCTTCCAGCTTGATCCCAACTTCCCTCTCGTAGCATTCAATCAGGAGCAAATTCAGCAGAGTTCATGAGGCAGCTATCTCACAGCAGACAAGGCTTTCTTTCCTGAAGTTGCTGACCGGCTTTTATGCATTGATCCATCTATCTTGACCAATATCAGTCAGCGGTTGTCTCAAGGCAAGAGAGTCAAACCAGAATCAGAGGCCAAGAAAGCTTGCTTTCAGCTTATTAATGACCTGGACTGTGTAGGCGGACATGTTGAAGGCTCACTGGCTAGCAAAAAGCACATGCGGAATGAAATATGGTCGCTCATCTCCTACATGGGTTGTCCATCCTGGTTTATTACTCTGTCTCCAGCTGACAATAAGCATCCGATATGCTTGTATTTTGCAGACCGTAATATTGAATTCAAGCCAGAAATTCCCTTGCCTGATGATGCATACCACCTCATTGCTAGCAACCCAGTTGCAGCTGCATGCTTCTTTCATTTCATGTGCGAGAATTTTATCAAGCATGTTCTTGGAGTCGGTACAAAACATCCTGGACTGTATGGAAAAACCAATGGCTACTATGGAACTGTCGAACAGCAGGGACACCTTACTCTGCATCTTCATCTCCTTCTCTGGATCAAAGATTCTTTGTCACCTCAGGAGATCCGTAAACATATTATGGATAATACCTCTGACTTTCAGACAAGAATGGTTCAATATCTTGAAAGTGTACACAAGGGAGAAATGCATTCAGGCACTCTAGATGAAGTACGATCTTGTGTCAAGGAGAATTCAAAGAATTCAGACTACTCCGATCCTACTAAGACTATGCCTGAAGCACCACCTGCTTTGTGCAAGCATGAAAAGACAACCAATACAGATAACATCTGCACCAACTGTACAGCTTCTGAATTATGGTGGAAGAAATTCAATGAGACAACTGATGACATTCTCTCCCGTTCCAACTATCATGACTGTCACCAAACATCTGAAGATGGCAGTGGGCGCACAATCAGAAAGGGATGTCTTAATAAATGTGGTCAATGTCGTGCCCGCTTTCCTCGAGATGTCATTCCAGAGACTATGGTTGATCCATTGAGTGGAGCGCTGAAGATGAAAAAGGGTGAAGCATGGATGAATACTTTTACTCCTATCCTTAGCTATCTTTTTCGCTCCAACACCGATGTCACAAGTCTCCTATCTGGAACAGCTGTTAAAGCAATTGTTGCCTATGTAACAGACTATGTAACAAAACCTGGACTGACAACCTATTCTGTATTTGATACGGTACATCAAATCTATGCTCATAATAGTGAGCTTATTGGTGGCTCACTGGACCGCTGAGAAATAGCAAGATCACTCATGACAAAGATGGTGAATCATTTAACAGCAAAAATGGAGATAGGAAGTCCTATGGCTTCTCTGTACCTGCTTCGAAATCCTGATCACTATACTCAGCACAAATTTGAGAATGTCTACTGGAAGGCTTATGTTCGAGAAAAG